ACATATGTATGTATGTACATGTGGAGATATCTATGTGGATTAGTTCATACTAAAGCAAATACTTAGTGGTGCGTTGTAGTTGTTTACATTTCACTTCTAGTCCAATTGAACGATGTAAAAAAGTACACATGTACATATTATGTATTACATACATACATATATGTGTTTACTAACTATTATGTAAGTATGTAAATGGAGGGACCCAGTCAAAGTCCGTGTACTGCTTTTCTAGTAACAAATATGCTTTCGTGTTACTAGAAATAAATGAAAAATGTATAAATATTGGATGGAAAATCTCCGATGAAGCTAAATTCTCAAATGTCAAACATGGCGTATGAGTAACCTACGTTTCGAACTTGGTATACTTGGGAGATACTTTTTTTTTAATTTCGTAAAAATATCATGCCGTTTAAGCTGTAAACACATAAAGGCAGGGACCGAAAATAACAGTTATTGTTTTTTTAACAGCTAAACTTGGCCAAATAGTTTTTAAGTCCGAAATAAAAGTCCTTTCCCGATAATAAACAAACCGCTTATCCAAATTAAACATTAATTTGGTATCAAATGAAAGAGGACTGAAATAGCTTTTAAACAGAACTAACTAACGAAGCTTACCACTTCTATTCATATATCTTTTTTTATAATTTTAAACAAGAGAAATTTCACGTAAACTTGTTCATTTAAAATACATATATGTATATGCCCATCATGCAACACATGAGAAATAGGCAACAATCGTCAATGCGAATCGCCGATTTGTTGCCGTGATGACAAATCGAAAACATCAGTTTTTGCATGTTATTTTAGTAAAATTATGAAAAATTCCCAAATGGATGAATTTCGCGTCAACTGTATTCTAAAAAAGCAGCTAACTTATGCCAAAGATAGGATTGAAAAAAATGGGAAGCGACATGGCGAAGGAAATAAGTAATTTTCTTTCTTAATTCATTTTTTGCCCAAATATCGCCTGCAGCAATAAAACTCGATAAGAACACAACTCGAGGCAACTCACCTTCGGCGAATGTTTCAGAGCGACTGGTAACAAGAAATAGATAAATACGATGGCAAATATTGCCGGCGATAAATTTGTTGCCGAGGACGACTCGGTTTCTGATTTCCGGCAACAAAAATTACCTGCTGGGTGTATGCACATATTTTCAGGTACACTTCTTAACAAAAAGTATATCGATAACTGAGTGGAAGATCGACCTATCTCGGCCGTTAGTTCGAAAACGCCATATCGCAGAGCGTCCTACTTCAGAATTTGATTAAAAAACGCCCTATCTCAGCTGCCGATTAAAAAACGCCCTGTCTCAGCACATTTTCAATGTATTTTCTGCGGAGATGAGGCGGTTTTGAACCGGATTCTGAGATAGGGCGTTCTTCAATCAAATTCTGGAATAGGGAGTTGTTTAAAAGTTTTCGGAGATATGGCGTTTTCGAACTGGCTGCCGAGATCGGCCGATCTTCCACTCAGCCATCGATATGTACTTCGTATGGAAGAAAATGACTGACATCTTAAAAAAAAAAATTCTCAAAAATCAAAAGTAGGTCCCTAGACATTGTGTTGCTCACCTTTAAGTTTTCGATGAATATTTTTATTCATCACCAAACTCAAACCTTCCAGTTTACGAGTATTACATTAACTGGTTTATGGTATTCAATTATTATTCTGCAGAATATTTTATTGCTGTAAATTGAATATTTAGGACCGTTTCCTATCCATATAGTTATAGACGTTGTTGACTGCCTGTGCTATGCATGTAATCAATAAAACAGCAAATTTAAATGTAACCGGTAGAGGAGAAAATAGCCATTAGACTTCTCTAATTATTGTAAAATAAGTACTAAGAGACACGTATGTATGTGCGTAATAAGTAGAAAAATTTATTGTCTTTATTGGACTTAAGTTGGCAATCCTAGCTGAAGTGGCGTGGTTATGAAATAAATAAACAGCATTGCTGTAATCCGCTTATCACCGATAAGTGTGCCTCCATTTGTCTCTTTAAAATTATTTTTTACTGGTAGAATTAGAATATTGACGTGCATGCATGTTTGTAGTTACATACATAGTAGTATATGTATATTCGTACAATATTTGTGAATGTGAAAGAATTCTAAGATTAATATATGTTTTATTAAAAATCAAATATGCCGTTGCATATATTTTTCTTTGTGTTTCATCAATTTTATGCATAAAAATTATTTAATAACTTTTAAACCGCAAGTCGAATGCTTTAATAATAAGCTGGGTCAATGTTGCAAAGCAAAGTAATAAGCTAACAATTTTTGATTGCAATACCTGCGGTTGAATTCTTGATGCCTCTTCTTTATCTTCTTTTTGGCGCTGTGGCCGCTTAAGCGAATTTAGGAACTAGCAGAATAATTTGCGATATCTACTCTTTTCTTAACATTACATGTCGCACGTTAAATAGGTGTGTTAGGTTAAGTTAAGCCATAATGAAATTATGCCAGGTGAAGTAATAAGAGCGGGAAAAAAATAAAAATTACACTACTTTTTTGGAAATGTTGCTTGAAAAATCTCTATAAGATAGCTGGTTGACAAGAAAATAATGTGAGAGGACTGTTTTAGTACTTCATCTGTTTATAATTTCACCATGAAGTTATGGTGGTTATCCCAAACAGGCATACACTAGGATCATAAATATCGATCCCTTGTCATGCCTCTACGAACGGTAACTTTTAAGATTTGTATAGCGAAAAACGCTGCATGTCTAGAACAAAATGGCGCAGGCTGGTTGGAAAATGCGAACTGTAGTGTTTCGGCCGTATCATCGCAAAAGCTCGGCAGGTAAACGAAAGTGCTGACATAAGACCATTCTCTCTTTAAAGCAATATTTTATTAGGCTCATAAATAATATTTTAACGATTAACTAGCCATAGGTGTATTTTGGATGCCCCTTTAATGGAGGCTTCATTAAAATAAAAAAAATTTAAAGGAAGGGTATGTATACTTTATTTTAGCGAGAGTAAAACCTTCTAAAGTCCCTAAAGTTATTTTATCACAATGCCACAGCTTTCATCTCGTCATGTTCTAAACAGCTGATTGTATATAGTATCATCAGTATACCCAGCATAATATCCCGTTATCGCCTGCGGTTCACCCTTGGCTAGAAAGATCTCGCCCTTCTTTCCAAGCACGGGCGTAGCCAAAATGAAATTTAAGCAGGAAGCGGACTCCTTTATAAAAAAAAAGCCTGTAAAACCCAAGAATTATTACAAAAAATTTGTATTATTTGTAGCTTAATATTATGAAAGAAGTTCAGAAAGTTGAAGAGGGTTACTTTTTTAAAGCGCGGCCAAATGAGTGACTGCTTTCTTAATATAAGGTACCTGTAAAACAATACAGTGACTTAGAAGCTTAAATTTGGTGTTGATAGAAAGCTCCAAGGAAAAGACCCCATCATCAACTCTTCCGTCAAGCTTCGACCCATCCGTCGTCTTGACGTATGCATGTTGAGCTCCTGGCAGGCAATCTCGAGGTATACTATTTCTAATGTGCAGATAAATCAGCATCTCAAGAGCTTTAAGAAAAACGAAGATGAACGGATTAGTCTAAAATCCTTAGCTGGGATATGCCATCATCACGCAACTAGCTTAGAAAGCTTAGATTGGAGTATGTACTATGTATATTAGGGTGATCCCAATAAACTAACCTAACGAATTTATGGCATTAAAAGGACATATTTACTGAGAAGAAAATTCTCCCATTAGGAAAAAGTTTTATTCTAGTTTTAAAAGGTGTCGGTGGGCATTTAATATTGGCAGTAAGAGCTAGTACCATCCGAAAACATTATAGTACAGATATTTCAATAAACACGTATGTACGAAAAAAAGGACCAACATACGTTCTTTTCAGTACTGCTGGAGTCAATCGGTACTTTTGAACTGCTACTGCACCGACTCCTAGGTAAGTAGCTACTCTATTATCCCAGAGTCGAACCAGTCGGAAGCAGAATAGCGAAAAACTACTACAGAGGGCGCCCATAAATAACGCAAGTGACTACTTTAGTAATGCCCCTTAGCGCAGAGAGAGCTGATGGTGACTACCGCCTAGGATATTGCCTTGTAAAAGTAATCGTTGAAATACACTGCAAGTAGTCGGTCGGTAATTGACGGAGTATATCAGGTAGCTACCAATTCATCAGGCCGGTAGTCGCTCCTGCAGGGTTTATAAATAAACATGTATACAACACATACACAAAAAGGGCACTCATGTACACAATACATTCACAAAACGGTACAAGACTGTTTCGCTTTGATTTCGGAATGGTTACACCTTCAGATGTTAGCTTACTGCCAATATAGAAGTATATATAATTGGACCCCCTTGGTTAAATAATGGGCATAGTTCTCAAAAATAATGGTTTGCGAAATTGGTGGTTTTTTGCGGATATGCGCGAGCATTTCATTGATTTCGATGTAAACTTAAGAGCCGCTTTAAATAACTTGGTCAAGTTTTCGCCGACCGATGGAGTTCATAAACTACCCGAAAACGACAAAACGTTTTAAATAACAATTTCAGGGTATTTGCCTTGGGAACAAATATTTACCACAATTTCACGAGAAATAATTTTGTAGCGCATTTTAACCCGCAAACTCTTACAGTGAAGGGTCGTTTTGATCCCTTTTTGGGAAGCCTGAATAAAATGACATTTGGAAGGTCGCTAGAGGGTTAAAATGTTTCAAAAAGTTATTCACTAACGGTATTCTTAGACAAAACCTGCATCCAAAAGTCCACAGAAAATAAAAAAAAAACAAATATGTCTCCTTGAAATATGCAACAACTTTTTTATGCCTGAGTTGGAGCAATTTCGCCGCCAAAAATGTTGTTATACTGGGTAATAATGGCCAATATAGATTTAGTTAAAACTGATTTTGTTCCAAACAATTTTTTCAAAAATTTCATATTACCCAATATTAAAAATAAACAGATTTCAAACTATATCTATTAACTAGTTAATACTAATTGAACTTACCTTATAGCGTTCGAAACCCTTCAAATGGGTTTCGGTTAAATATTTTATGCCAAACATGATGGATCGCAGGTAAAGGAATGGTTGTGCCAAGAAGTCTTATAAATTTTCGAAGCGGAATTTTTATTTGGAATGCAGTCGATTAAGGAATTTTACCTCATTTCATGTACTTCATTAAACTGCAATTTAAATGAAAATTCAATTAAAACCGGCAATCATCGAAGTACTATATGTGTAGCAACAAATTTGGTTACAAGTAATTTATTAAATTATTTAATATTTATTCTCAATATTTAACAATATTTTTAAGATTGTAAGTGTGCGCCGGAGCTGCGTAGAAAGTATTTTATTTGCACTTGCACTTGCAGAATTCAATATTGTTTACATGCAAAATTACTACGATGCAGCACAATTTCCACTTATTAATTAAACTAGCACATTTTTTTTTTATTTCAACGCACAAAACTTCGCGCGCAATTTTATTGATGTAGTAGGTATGTACTTTCCGCGCTTTTTTGTAATCTTCACACTTTTTACACAGTTGTCGCTTGTGTGGTCACTCGCGGTCGTGTAATATTGTTTTTACCCATTGCCTTTATTTTTGCTGTTGTTGTACTTCATGCTCCCGTTAATGCGACTGCGTTTCAAGTTGAAAAAAAAAAAAAACGTTTTTTAATTTCCAGGCGTGTCACAGCTCGCGCCATCAGCAGAAATTGTCAACCAATACAACAACTTAGTGACAGCAACCGCCCGCTGGCAAGTAGCAGAAGAAAATACCTTTGATAGATTTCATGTGATAAACACTCTCACTAGCCACTCACGACACGCGCACACACATACCTACATTTACTCAGCCAAAGTTGAAACAAAAACTATATAGCAATCGCTCATTGATTTCATCAGCGATTTTTAATTTATTCAATTTAATTACCAACTTTATTTTCAAAGCAACAAAGGAAAAGTGATATAGTAACCAATTTGCGCACAGTAGTCGTACTATATACATACATACATATGTATATAACTAGCAGTTAGTACAAATATGTATACATTACTACATACTTACTACATTAGGGAGGGTCAAAATAAGAACGATGGAATTTTAATGCACTCACCTCCTAGGATTGTTCTACATCGAAAAAAAATACGAGTAAAAATTCCCGAAGTGGCCCCCTCAATTTTTTGCAAGTAACGAATATTGCAAAAAGTATTTGCAATTTTTACCAATATATTATGCCAGTATTCGACTTTTTATATGTATTTTTTTTTTAATTTAATATTTATGTACCTTATTTTTGTAATAATTATTGAGACCAAAGTTTTCATGCGGTTTTGATTAAACTTTACGAGTACGAAAAAAATAGTTTTGTAAAAAAAGGTAGTAAGAAAATGTTTTACGAATTATTAGTTTTTCAAACTGTTTTAAAACTTCTCTTTCTTTAATAAAATTTAAAAAAAATATACTCTCGTGATTTTTATCGCGTTAAGGTGTCAAAATGTTCCGTTCAATATTTTTTGCAAATGGGCTCAAAAATTTATGTCTCTTTAGATATGAAATTTTTTTCATATGCCAACCACTACTTATGTACTAATATTTTCCAATGCGAGAATGAATAAATAACATAGTAAAGTATTCATTAATATTGCATCATTATTTGATATATATAGTGCTTATAGTGCCCAAATATTGACAATTTTTGACCATTTATTTCCTTATTCCTTAGTTTGACTTACAATTTTTTTTTTTATAAAAATAATCAGTGGCAATTAAAAATTTGTGAATGTTTGAAATTTTATTTATTAATTCCAGTAACATAACTTTTTTAATAACAAGCAGATTGCTTGGAAATTTTCTGCAAATAAAGAACTAAAAATTCTTAAAAAAATTTCTTACCATCTCTTAGAAAACTATTTTTCCGCACTCACAAAGTTTCATCAAAATCGCATGAAAATTTTGGTCGCAATAATTATTACAAAAAAAAGGTACATAAATATTAAGTTTAATAAAATTCATATAACAAAATCTAATGCTAGCGAAGTATTTTGCTGATATATTTTTAGATACTCAAGCTAAGAAATGCAAATATGTACTTATTGCAATATTCGTTACTTTTGTGAAAATTGAGGGGGCCACTTCCGGAATTTTTACTCATACCTAATGTGACCAACCGTACTTCTTTCGGAAGTATAGTACATTTTTTTTCGCTCTTGTACTTCGTACTTCGAAGTACTGTCAAATGTACTTCTTTGCGATATTTTGTACTCCAGGAGGGAGATTCTGTAACCAGTTAGCGATTCGAAAATTGTCGCTAACTGGTTACAGAATCTCCACACAGGTCCTGTACTTCTCCGATCTTCTGGACGATCGTCACATGGCCTGGGCGATAAATTCGTTCAAATCATTAAAGTCGCCGAGGGCCGACACCGTCATACCTGCGCGGCTGCAAAGGGCTCTGAAGGTGTCGTGCAATTGGTTGGATCCTATTTATGCGAATTTCGTGAGGATCGGGTACATCCCTAGTCAGTGTTGCATTCATCCCGAAGACCGAAAAGGGCTCCCATGTTTCCTATAGCGATTTTAGGCCTATAGAGACTGATAGACCTGTACGAAGGAAACGTAATTCCTCGTGACTGTCTTTCAAGAGCTCAATATGCTTATTGCAAGAAAATTTCGGTGAATACCGCCCTGTACATATTGGTAAAGTGGTCAAGGGAAGCCTTCACGCGTGAAGGTTATGAGAGAGGGGGGAGGAGAATTAATTCTTTAGCTCTAAGAAACCAGATTTCAGCGTATATTGTTTCAAGGAGCCCTTGTCTGGTGGAACTAACTAAAGAAGGCTAAACTTGTAGAACAGGAATTATCGGAGCACTAGGAACCACGCCTACACTAGCGCTTAACATTTGTACATATTTTCCACGGCGCCTGTGGATATTGCAGACAGAATTGTCGCAGCACGAACTGCTATAAGGCTAAGGGAAACCATGTCCTATTGTGACATAAAAAATAAAAAGAAGAAAAGAACTCAACCTAAGCTGTACTTCTTTAAGCTATGAAATAGTTGATCAAATTACTCATACCCATATTTTTTGTTTTGAAATCAAACAATATTTAGAGGTCGCTCAAAGCGCTCAAATTTGCCGATTTACTTATATTACTATTATTGGAAATCTCCTGAAGAGAACCAGAGCTTTTCGATTGAAAAATATAGATTTTCAAGAATTCTATAACAAATAAAAAAGGGGTATATTTTTCGGTATAGAACAACCCTAGGGGTAAGAGCATAAAAATTCCGAAATTACTTTTTCACGCGCATTTTTACATTCATGGCTTAATGCGGAAATTATGCGCGGCCCTAATACTTAGTCGGGCAAGCTACCACACAATCAGCTCCTAGTAATTCTTATCACCGAGATTATAACCGTTTTTTTATTATTTAAATATTTATTTATTTTAAACTCTGCAGCTTTTTAATCAGTTTTATCTGGGCATTGCCGTAGCTGCGCAAACTTAAACACATATCTGATAATTGTTCTATTTAGGAACTATGTACATAAATACATAGATACGAAGTGGAAAACAAAAAATTATAAAAAACGGGCATTTGAAGTGTAAGCAAAAATTATTTAAAAAACCTATCCCTGTCTCACTCAAGCATGCGTGCGGCCGAAAAGAGGTTTTGATGTTCAAGCCCGCTCTAACATTTTTAAAATACATACATTAAGAAGCAAAACTTAAACCTATTGCTGACGCAATAAAATCATTAAATTATTTTTAAAATAATTTGGAAGTAAATCATCGCCCGCGGCGGAAGGGGTACATGAGACGTTCAATGAACTCTTCCACGAGCGCTGCCTTTCTCACGATATCAAAATCGTCTTATAGTTAGAATTTGAATTCCTGTGTGGATAAGAAATGCATCCGATATCGGACTTATAGTGAGAGACTTCACCAGGGCTCGAAACACCTATTTTGCAGGAACCAGGCACAAAACAACGCATGCAAAAAACAGCACTAAGACTACTGTACTGCTTTCATGCCCTTTAAACTCGTTTTAAGTCTGAAGATTATTGAGTGTCAGACATGCCTAGTACCTCATTCTTGAAAAAACGGGGCAGAAGTACCAAAAGTGTTCCGCTGTCTCATCCTCTTCAAGCAGGATGGCCAAATGCAGTTGCTATGTCGAATCACTTAAGCCTACAGCATTAGGTGCCGCTTCCAGTTTTTTGGGATGCGCAAACCATCCGAAAGTAAGCATCGGTTTGGACCATGGTCTTGTTACAGCGAAAGCTCTCAGTGAAAATGTGCGCAGATCAAAACAAAGAAAGCTCAACGTCGAACAGCTGCAATTACAACAGATATCCAGCACCTCCCTCCGCAGATATCCAGCACATACCGCTATCGTACGGTTACGTCGCAATTCAACGAGCCCGAAAGAAGCATTGGTATGATGAGGAATATCATGCCGCTGCAGTAAATTCCGCCAACAGTGTCATATCTTCTAAGTAAGTATCGGCAACAAGTCTTATATAGGGTATTGTGTGAAAGGCTTAATCTCATCGTCAACGAACTAATTAAGCTTTATTAATTTGGCTTTAGACTTGGAGTTCATTTACTCACGATCTCATTGTCGATTTTAAACGACAATTCAATAGTGCGGAATGAGCTACATATCCTCGCAAAATCAAAACGGCTCAGTAAAATTATGTTGAGCAGCACCATAAGCTCCGTTAGAATTGAGAGGAACATCTGCGAGGCGTTAGATACCAAACTAATTTTCATAGAGCGTGTCTCTATCACACAACTCTCTTCATTTACTGCTCAAGATATGAATAACCGCTACATACATAACTAAATCGGTAATAAGGCAATAAGGTAGTACATCAAAGAGCATGTACCCGCGAGAACGCAAGTGAATATTTTCTCGGATAGCCAAGCGGCTATTCAAGCCCTCTCTTCTACCTCTGTTATATCTCAAAAAGCGGATAACTGTAGGAGAGAGCTGGCTTCGATTTCTGATCAATACGAATTTACCGTAAGATAGGTCCCGAGAAATAGGTGCATTTACGGTAACGAAATAGCGGACGAACCAGCTAGGTGCGGCTCCGCACTAAATGTGTCCTACGCTCAGGAAGATCAAAGCAAAAATTGCCGCAATTCATCCGTCGACGGACAAAGAGGTGGAACCGTACAGGTTCATATAGAACTACCCGGCAGTTCTGGGTGTCCTACGACTAGTTTTCTAAAAACATATTCGACTACCCGCTTCCTTTTGACTTTTGCAACTAACCTCTCACAAACAACTAGATCATTTTCGATTTTCACCTAGTTGTTTTCTTTCAGCAAACATTGTGTTTTATTTTTATTTTTATAATTCCTATATTTATTGACAAAATCCAACCGCGTTAATAAAAAAATAATGTATTTAAGGCCTGTCACTATTCGGATAAGTTCCGTTAGTCGATTTTCAGACTAAATATTACATAGTGAGTGGATAGTCGAAAGTGAACGGTTGGTCGAATTCGAGTGATAATTGCGTATCAACCAACAAAAAGGTTGCTAATCAACTACATAGTCGACTAACCGAATAGCCGGATAGTCAATTTATAACACTAAGACCCACTTAAAACCAAAGCTGTCTTAGGAATGAGCAAAAAAGATATTGGCCCGTTGAGGTACATGCCGAACGAAATAGCTTACCCTTCCAATAAGTTCTGTAGCAGTTGCGATGACCAGGGCCCAAAAGATACAGTCAAGCACTTCCTGCGGAATATTTCAGAGTGCGTCTAGTAGGGGTACTGAGGCATAGTAACATAACAGTAAATGAGAGAGCTTGCAAGAGGGGTACTTTCATTCCACTCTCACCAGCCTGGAAGAAAACATTTTTCTATAGACCAAATAAATAAATGAATAAAACCCCAAAAACATAGGTACATATGTATGTATATACGTATAGTAAGCATTGTCTCACACAAGAGCCATAACAAATAATCTTTTCGGTGGCCTGTTTATTGGGGAATTCTTTTTTCAATGTCAATACAGATATTGTTACCTAATACATACTATATACAAAGCTGTAGAGTGGAGATAATTTGACTTGTAAATTCCATTTATTTTTAACGTCCTTTATACCCGCTACGAGATATGTATGTACATCGGGTTATTCGAGGTTTTTGATGTTTTTTTGTTGGTTTGCATGTTCAGCGAAAATATAATTTTGCAATGGTAATTTCTGTTCTGCCACCACTATACTTCTACTCAAACACCCGAGGAATAACAACTCTGTCAGCACTAACAACCGCGGAAAGAAGCACAAGAACAATCATAACAACAACAACAATGTCAGCTGAGCACTGCACATGGCGCATTAACGAGTAACTACAACTCATAAATACACATGTGTTTATGTATGTACATTAGGGTGGTCCAAAAATACATGCGAAAAAGTAAAGTCGGAATTTTTATGCACTCACCCCCTAGCATTATTCTATAACAAAAAAAAATATAACCTTTTCTTTTATTTTGAAATCAAAAAATATTTAGAGGTCGCTCAAAGCGCTCAAAGTTTTCCATGTATTTTTAATGAGAAAAACTACTTTTCGTAGAAATGGTTTAGAATTCTTGAAAATCAATATTTTTCGATGAGAAAACTCTGCATCTCTGCAGGAGAGTAATAATACCCAATTGTTTTATTTAACCCCTTTTTCTTGTAACTATAATTTAAAAGTTCACCAAAAACTCCAAAAAATGCAATGGGGGCACCAATAAAAAATCGTTAGTATTAAAAAATGGTTAAATAAACCATTGGGTATTATTATTGGAAGTCTCCTGAAGAAAGCCAAAGTTTTACAATCTAAAAATATTGATTTTCAAGAATGCTACACCATTTCTACAAAAAGGGAAGAAAAATTCTTACCAGCAGGTGCTATTTCGGGCTCGGTGGACCATGGAAAGCCAATGCCCTCTTTCGACGGGTTAAAATTACGCCATACAAATCTTTCATCATGCCCTAAGGTGAGGTACCAAAAGGCTGTACAACCCCCCAAAACCTAGCGAGCCTGTCAAAAACCGGACTTCAGACAGCAAATGGCCATCTTCGGATGTCATCTAAATACCAGCTACATACCGAGGCCTCAATGCTACCCGTGAGGTTTCAAGGAACAGAAACTTAGAGATAGAAGAACTTCCCGCTAAGCATATCGGAAAACATCTCTACAAATTCACAAAGAGGTTCCAGACCTACATCGCACAACCACGGAATCCTAAGTAGTACAGACAAGTAAAATGGTGCGAATGGGTGATTACACTCCAGTGAATATCCTTCTAATCGGCACCAATTGCGATGGCCACGAGCTACTTTATCTCAACTGGTGGATAGCCGTCAATCTATTATAGTTTGAATGTCATGCGAAAGTTTATCTTAACTCGATGAACTATCCTAACGTTGGACTAACTTAGACAAACAATCCTAGGTCAGACGCGCCGATTTTTTGTGTCTTAACTCTGTAGCTGAACAGTTTACCATCTCGACACAAAAAATGGACCCGTCTGAGTTAGGATCGTTTATCTGACAGCGCTGAGTTATTTAAGCTCGGGCCATCGATTGATGAAAGACGAAAAAGAGGACGACCACCAAGAGAATGCAGAAAGCAATTTCAGAAGAGCAAAACTTCGCAGAGGAGCGAGGCGATTGGCGAAATGTCATGATCTCTTCCCAAACAGAGACACGATTGTGGTGTCAAATATAAAAAAGAATATAAAAATTAATAAACGGGACGGTATTAAATAAAAGAAGAGTGTGAGAGACTTTCACCCGTGAATATCTTTTAATGGTTTAACTGTTTATAAGGCAAATTTGTTAGGAATATATTGAATGAAATTTTTCCGACAGGGTTTACTGCACCTCGCATTTATGCGAATTCTGCAAATAAATGTTGCCAAAATGTTTGGGGAATTTTTATACTTTAAAACCAAGGTTAAGCCGAAATTCCAAAAAAAAAAATTATGGATCGGAGCCAAGTTAAAAATTATGAGAATTTGGAAAACTGTCTTATAGAGCCACCCTAATATATGCATGTATGTATGTTGAGCTATGTACAAAAGTATGCGAGTTTTCGTACTTATGTCTGTATGTTATCGCATGTTTTTTTTTATATAAGTCATATTATAAACTGTAGTACACGCGAGCACTAAACAACGACGAAACTAAGCTTCACCTAAAACAATACGTATATTTTACGTACATATGTACATAAGTACTATGTAGCATGCTGAATGTTATTTAATTTTTCCACACAAGTTATGTATTAAAATTTATAAAAACTATTAACTTCCTTCACTTGTTCGCCAATTTCACTTTAATAACACTTATTTCATTTAATTGAGAAATTGTGGTTTACTTAATTTTTATTTTTTATTTTTTTTTATTTTAAATATTCAACCAGCCATAATGGTGCACTTCACTCTCAATAACAGTTCTCCAATTTTCGTTTACCGGCGAGTGTGACCTTCTTTACGGTCTTCCCTGGTAACGCACCAATGAACAAGTAATTCGCCCGTTTATAGTAGCAACCGCAAAGAGGTGGGAATGCAACGAAGTGGCGCGGTGTCCGTGAGAGGGGGGCCAACTAAAGGTGAGACGTAAGGTACGTAAGGATAGCGACTACGTGGTTGCTGCAACAACGTCGTTGACTACAGCAACGTTGACTAGTGAAACCGAAAGAAGGCGACGACGACGACGACGACGACGACTACTACTATTTAGTATTAAAGACCGATATTCACAGCTCGCAGCTTTGCTCAAGACTGACTAACAATTGCCAGAAGTCGAATAAAGGCAAGAGCAAAAGCAAATGCTGAAGAAGCAGCAATGCTAGTAGCCATACATAGCAGATGCGGCAGCAAATACACTACGGCAATGCGATAGTAAATATGTATGTACATATGTACATAGTTATCTCCAACAAGTTGGGTACACGTATACTAAACAGCGGCACTCAAAAACTAGACCCGAACACATGAATGTGTTCAACATATATACATACTTACATGCATACTATTCTTTCATGTTGGGTCAAAGCCGTCGAAGTAGGAGACAACAATAAGAGCTTCACCCGCACGGATACATATATCTAATTGTATTATCAGTTAGCTGTTGTTTTGCACAAACCTACAATTTTTGCATTTACATACGTACATACATACTTATATGTTTCCTCAATTTTTTATTATTAAGCACTTACTTGTTGGCAGCAAAATTACTGACCGTTATTACTATTATTTATTTTGTATTTGTTTTCCTCCCTATAAAATTGCATACGTTTATATTTATACAGGGTGTGCCAAATAAGACCTAACATCCATGGTTTATAGGGCCATAGTTTTCATAGCAATGTGCGCAGTTGCTCCATCTTGTTGTAACCACAAATTAGGGCGCTGTTCTGCCGTTGGCTGCAAAAAGTTGTCAATCATTGTTCTGTAAGAAGCCCCAGAAATCGCTTCTGGCGTATCATCCTCATTCTATGGGCCAATAGCTTTTTCGGCCCTAACACCGCACCAAACAGTGCATCTGAATGGGTGTAAATGGTGCTGGTGTATTGCCCTTAGAATTTCGGAGCCCCACGATCTACAGTTTTGCTTGGAAATGCGCTTCATCCGACATCAAAACATTACCTAAAAAATCAATTTGTGTAGCTAATTGTGTAAAACGAATAGCGTATTGTAGTCATTGTTGATGGTCTTGCTGTAAGTATCCATTATGGTTTTCCAAGAGATTAACTATAACATGCAATAACAATAATAATAAAAAAATATTAAAAAATAAATAATAAATAAGTTATACGTGTTTTACATTAGTAGGTCTTATTTGGCCCACCCTGTACTTATGAGATACACACATGCATGCATGTGCTTACCCCGGCTTTAGGGTAGTAGTCACGTTATATGCTGCTACTAGCGCAATCCCCGTTAGGGATGCCAACTCTGTTAAGGCAAATTCCCCCCCAATCATTTTCAATTATTACTTTTTTTTAATAAAATCAATTGATATAGTTTCTGAGTCCGGTACTAACATGTAAATCTATCAACTCTGTTAGTTTGTTAGTTAATTTTTGGGTGTAATAGAACAGGAGACACCGCAATCTGAAAGATCGTTTGTATTTCTTAAAGAGAGGGCCCCTAACCCAGTGTGGACAAAATACCATCGGCTTCCCTAATGAATCCAAAAAGGGCTCTGGTAGGCCTTATAACAAAGAGTTCGACCATTGAAGATTTAAAATAAATGAGTATTTGTCTAGCCAAAGCCGGACAGTGACAGAGAATATGCTCAGAAGTTTCATAATCCTCGAGGCAGAGCCAGCATTCCAACTCTGTGTTCACAACTATTCGGTGCAATGGAATCGCATTTGGTTGCGATCGGTCGGGTACCCATAAAGTAGCTGGATGCCATTTCTATTTACTAAAATAATATGTTTGCTGTTGAAAAGCTAGCCGAAGAGCCTGGCCTGCTCAGGTCCCGAAAAGGCAGGTGGCGACCCTTCTCGTTCCAACTCGTCGGCGACCTCGTTTCCTTCGATTTCACAATGACCTGGTACCCAGCACCAGTAGTACCGCGTTTTTGGCTTGAATTTCATAGTCTTGTTTGAAAGGGCCCGAATGGCTGCTTGACTATCTGAAAGGATAACTGGAAAAGTTAAATTTTACGAAGTTTGAAATTACGACTATTGCAGTTTGAAACACAGTGGGCCATTTGCCCAGGGGAATTGCAAGTTTGGTGCTAGGTTCAAAAAGACCTGCACCTGCTCTATCCTCCATTCTTGAACCCTCTGTGTACCAGCGTACATATCTTCAAACTTATTTTACGGAAAATCCGAGCGCCTAAAAACTCTCGGCGCGGGAGAAACACCCAAGACTAACATTATTCGCAATAAAAGATTTTCGTCAAAGTTTGAATCCCGCCACAAATACTCCCGCAGTTGGCATCCCTGGTCCCCACTGTACTACTGTCACTTTTCATAGCAGTCGATATTTTTTTACTCTCTCGACTTTAACAAATTTGTTCTCAGTCGTATGATTTTCTGCTTTTTAGTAATGTTGTTATTATTGTAGCAATGCGGCATTTTACTTTGCAATTGTCATATTGCTAGCTTAGAGTGAAAAGTAGCTAAGTCTACTATTTCTAAAAAATTTTATTTTTATGCAAGAAGTAAGACTAATCAAAAATACATCGTTTTTTAAAAGACTTCTAATCGTTTCTATACAGTGACTCGAAAATTTGCTAAGTCCAATATAGTTACAGAAAATGTAATAGGTCCCAATGAATACATATGTACATATATTTTTCATCAACATTATGGAGTTTGATTCGTCTGAAACTGTTTTAGCTTGGGGAACGCGAAAACTTGTATTCCAATTTTTGCAAACCAAGTGCTTGAAAAAATTAGAAAAACTGAACTTAGCCACTTTTTACTCTAAGCTGGTGATATATGTATGTCTGTACAAAATTTACTTTGACTATGAACTTTGCAGAAAAGGCTTATCAATCAATTTGTCTTGCTTTTGATTTTGTGTTTGCTTTTGGTTTGTATGTTTTTACATACGTATGTATGTATGCAGATGTGTTTGTTTTTATTTATTTTTGTTACTTTTACATTCAATATTTCCATGTCTTTGCGCTACTAGTGCTAAGCGGTTGATCTACTGAGGTTATCAGGCGATAGAGGATGCTGTAATCTGAAACGCACATACATTACAAACACAAGGAATTGTCTATGTGCACACAGGGAAAGCTACATTTGAGTTGGGAAACTAGTATACTACCGATTTGCCTTTTCAACTCAACTAGTTCCGTCTTCCATTTTCGTTGGAACATGATGATGTCCTAGGAAAAATCAATTGTCCGGTTAACCGAGTTGACGGGCTAATCCGGCTATCCAAACATGCTAAAAATATGAATACAGTACAGTTGTGTTCAAAAATAGGGCAGAATAATAAGAAGAAAATAGGTAAAGAAAAGGTAAATTTAAACACTTTACTTATATATATATAAGGGCAAAGGTGAAAGGTAAAATTAAAAACAAAGATAAATATAAAGAAAAAGATAAGGATGAGGACACCGATAAAAGTAAAGACGAAGATAGAGGAAGAAAGGTTAAAATAAAGGTAATTATAGAGAAGAGGATGTAGATAGAGACACAGACACTCAGTCTGGGAACTATTTTAGGATTGTAGAGATTTTTGGAATTCTCAGGACTTATCGATATAATAATCCATACTTTTATCGGTTTTGTTATCGATATTTTTATCGATTTCGTTATAGTAATTTTTATAGATATTTTTATCGATTTTGCTATTGATATGTTCGGAACTTATCGATATAATAATCGATATTTTTATCGATTTTATTTTTAATATTTTTAACGATTTTGTTAACGATATTTTTCATCGGTATTGTTATTGGTTTTGTTATCGATATTGTTATCGATTTTTTATCGAATTAGTTATCGTTTTTTATCGATTTTTTATTGATATCGTAACCTATTTTGTTATCGAATATTTATCGATTTTGTTATATCCACTTTTTTATCGATTATTTATCGATTATCTATCAATTTTGTCATCTATTTTTTTTATCGATTTTCTAATCGGTTTCGTTATCGATATTTTTATCGAATTGGATATAGCTAATTTTATCGATATTGTAACCGATTTTGTTATCGAATATTTATCGATTTTGTAATTGACTTTGTTATGGATTATTTATCGGTTATATATCGATTTTCTAATCGATTTTCTTCATCGAGTTTGTTGCCGCTTATTTATCGATTTCGTTATCGATATTTTTATCGGTTTTGTTATCGATATTTTTTTGGATGCTACTACCGATTTTGTTATCAATACAGTATAAAGATAAAATGAGGATAAATTAAAACAGAATAACATAAACGTAATTAGAACGAACAGGGGAAGAGGAGGGGATCTAGATAGAAAAAAGACAAAAAATATAACCTTAAGCAAAAGCAGATGTAGGTATGTATGTATATTGGTAATGAGACAAAATAGTTATCTAACGCAAGTTTCACTTCTCCAGTGTCGCCCAGGCGCTCTTACTTTTTTTAACGTTCTACTCTACAACTTAAATAGTTTGATAAACTGTTTTAAGTCAGAAAGTAAAAAGGCAATCAACACTTTAGTTTCAATTCGCCTTTATTCGATGCATTTCCCTATTTGCACCAAAAACAACTGTTCAAAAAAAAATAGTAGTGCCTAACTTGATAAGCTCTAATATTTAAGGTAATTAATATGTGTCCAAATTTAAGTGTTTTTAAGTTATTTTACAATTTTTCAATGTAAAATTAATAAAAATACGCAGCCAATACAGGATTTGTACTTAAGTAATATTACATTTTTCACTAGTCTAATATGGCTGAACAGACAGTATGAATAGTGAGGGGTTTACATATAGGTATTTACCCAGCGCTGGGTATTTACACATTAATACGTATGATTCGTACCCGAGTATTTACGTAATTTAGGGTAGGTACTCATTGAATAAAATTTCCGTACCCCTGCAATTAAAACTCTAAAATTGTGATGAAACTTATGTTTAATAAAGTAGACCAGGCCATATACATATGTATATATCCAGAATAGTCGGTATATATGAAAAATATAGCCAGAAGATATCAAAAGTAAAATTAAACTGGAGTTATCTACAACTTCCATGTTGAATGATGCCGAAAAAACATATCGTACAACGATATTCAATACCCGATTCAAAAAAACCATAAAACCGATTAATTTAGCTGCAAATTTGTTAG